GTTATTTCTAATTTGGTTACGCAATAAAAAGTGATAGATATTAGGATTTTCGAAGGTTAGTAACTGTTGTGAATTTATACTCCTTCGGAGTCGACATTCTACCGAAGTTGTTCGATGAGGAAGCCCAGTAGCGTCATCGTCGGCGAAGGAAGACGTTGCAGGTATGTTGTTCATCTTCGGAGAAGAGCTGCTACCGAAAGCCGTTGTCACTGTCCATTGTCAGCTACATAGATCTTGAAGTTGTCTGTGGATGAATTTATGTGGAATATCAAACAGATTTTGTAATTTGTTTCTTGTCCTATGCGTGAATCACTCAAATGAGAGAAGTTTGTTTTACTTTCTCAATTTAAGGGCATTTTTTGTTGGATATCTTCTGCTCTTAATTTCCCACTCGCAAAATGTCTTTTTAGCTTTAAAATTAGGTTTAATTTCAATTTTGTCTCAATATTATTAATTTTGATTTTATTTTGAATTTACTTCCACTAATATTTTTATTCGTGTCGAAGTTTGTTGCCAAAGCCCATCGATTCGGGAATAAATTCATAACAATAACTTCGTTTCAAATGGACAGAATTTGGTTTAGATGTGAAGTAGTTATATATTGAAGTTTTCAAGCATCCAATTGTTTCCTAGATAATGAATGAAATTTGTGGCAAAAGTTGGGATTGAGGTTTCGTTGGAGTTGTTTCTATGTTTTATTTATTTATTTTGAAGGTTCAAACACATGGTAAAAATAAGTTTATACAAATCCATATATTGTAGATACTGGAAATTTTTTATCTATTGCTTTAGACACAAATTCATGTTATATTAACAAATCAAACTTTGTAGCAACACTTAAATAGCCTAATAATGATTAATATTTTAACCAACTCATTTGTCACTTGATTTACCGTCCACGAGTAAGACTATACACTTGATGTATATGTGTAAAAATGTTTCTCGAGTTGAGATTACAAGGGCATAAGTTTGTGTATCTAAAATATTTGAAATGTGTATATGGGTATATGAAAAATGAAATAATATATAAATATAATGTATGTAGGTATCTGAATAAAGTACTCAGATACTAACACTGAGTTTATGAGTTTATAGGTATCTGAATAAAGTACTCAGATACTAACACTGAGTTTATGAGTATATATATACATTTCAAAGGTATTATATGTCAAGTAGCATATATTTTTTAAATTAAATGAGTTCCTACAACGGCAGAAAATTCTCTAAATAAGTTCCTACGGTTTGGATTACTTATGGGTGAAAATATATTAAAAAAAAAGTGTTTGTCTTATTACATAGAGTACACAATAAAAAATCTAATAGTAGATTACAACTAGTTCTTTCAAGTAAGTACTATATTTTTCTTTGTTACTTCATGAGAATGAATTCAAATTACATCAATTGTTTAATAAATTTGTAGTAGCAAAAGTGTAGTCTAGTAATGGAAAACATTTTAATCAACTTCTTTGTAACTTCGTTTATCATTCATACGTAGATATTGAACATTTATTGTATATGTATAATGGTGTTTCTCCGTTGAATTTTCGTAAACCTTTACTCTTTGTATTTTAATATTCTTTAGGAATAGATGAGAATACTATCGTGTTAAATTTATCCTCGGTTACCACTAATAAGGATATTGATACCCAAAATGATCAATTTCTCAAGTATGGAGTTTTCCGGGCATATATACTCGTTATTGAAGCATATGCCACCATTATTATAAGTACATAAAATATGTGCCCAAGTATGTCAGTATTTGATGCAAGTATGTATGTATGTGATCCGGGTACAAACACTGACATTCAAGGTATGCATGATGGTTGCTTAGGTATTTTTTGTGTAGTAGCAAGTATCTTGAGTGTGGTCGATTTCAATCAATCCTTGATGGAGAGACAATTAAGGAACCCGGTGAGAGCACTTTCTCTATTAGCCAAGTGGAAATGTTTGTGTTCAGGCGTAACACTCGTTATACTCACTGCCTATTTTATATATTTTTATTATTTATAAGTATTTTCTATAATTATATAAAAAAAATATGATTATGTATTTTAAATAAGAGATATGTCTAAGGCACTTCACATATTCAATATAATGTCTCGTATATTTTCTATTTTGGGTTTCTTTTTTTCTTTTTTTTGATGATTTGGGAACCCGCAGCCGCTACGCGAAATTGCGCACTGGGTATACCCCGGCCGAACCTAATACCCTGCAAATCAGGCCTGACGGGAAAGTTCTATTTTGGGTTTTGATTTAGAGTTTGAGGTTTTATCTTGAATAAATGATCGAACAATATGTAATAAATCCAAAGATTTTTAATGTGTGTCAGCAATCATGTATTCTAATAACCAACAAAATTCAATTTAGTAACTTATAACCTTGTTACACATCTACAAGTGGAGATTGGACTATAATAGTACATATATCATACAACTTATCTAAGTCATTCTTGACTTATTTAACCATCCATAACAAATACGTGTTGTTATTTTTTCTGAAAATTTTTGGTATCACATGAAGACTACCATGATGAACACATCATTGGTTACCGTCATCAAGTGAATATTTCGAATCGAAAATGGTCGTTCTCCAACCACAGGTTATCAGTGCATATATACCTTTTACGGAAGCATATGAGACCATCATTATAGGTAGTTAGATATCTCCCATGGTATGTGGATATTTTATGTAGGTTGATAAGAATGTGATATGAATACAAATACCGACATGAGAGGTATAAATAAATATATTTATTCCTATTGATTTTTTAAAAAACTTAAATATATTTATTTAAAACTATTAGGTAAAAAAAATAAAAATATAACTAAATCATTATTTAAAATTTATTTATTTTTATTTCTATAGAATAAGATTTATAAATATAATTTTTTTTTTTCTAAAAGAAATTATATTTATATTTATTTTATTTTATTTTCACGTTTTAAAGTATAAAAAATAAAATACTACTTATGAAAACGATTTTTTATACAAAATTATGTAAATGTCAATATGTATATAATTTTTTTACTTTGTTGATGGTTGAGAGAAATGACAGCGAGTAGAAACACAAATAACGGAATAGGATTTTATTTGGGTATCAACAACGTATAGTAGTTTTCTGTCTCATCCCACGATAAAATGTGACTTTAATTATTGTTTTTATTTAATTTTTTTAATTTTAAAATTCACAAATAAAAGTACACAAAAAACAAATAGAAATATATCATTACAACAATTTAGGTAAAGAGGATGTGTTATAAGTATATAAAAAGAATATTAAAAGTATTTAAATGTATTCTAGGAGTGCATTATATTTATACTGTATTATTTAATGAAAAATTTAAAAATAGAGAATAAATTTAAATCAATAGGAAAAAGAAGGGAATCCAGATAAAGTTTACTGACAAAAATTTTAAGAATAGGAACTAAACTTAAAGCTAACAATACTGACAAAAAAGTGTAGACCAACTTGTCCTATATTTTTTACTCGCAAATATCATTATTTTGAAATAGATACAAGCATGGAGGTAAATAAAATTATGTTTATGCATACAGGAGGAATTGATAAAAGCAGGTGCCGACAGGTTCGGCTAGAGGTTTTGGACCCAACACGTTTGACTTTTATTAAATTTTGCTTGCTTTATGGAAAATGATAGAAGTAGGTGTGTGGTTTTTTCTAGGTTTTTTTTTTTTATACATTTTGTGAAATAAAAACTGATAGTATTATTAATAATATGTAATATTCCTTTCCTTTTTCAATACTATGTTTTTCTATAATTATGTCAATTTTTGTTATTATTCATTAAATTTATGTTCAATTTATATACAATAAATAATTTTATTTAGTCATAATTTTATTTCCTTTAATTTATAAATAATAACTAATTTGCTATTACTTATTTTACTTATCACATCATTTTATATTAATTTTTTTAATGAATTTACTATAATAATCTCACTTTATTTTATCTATCTCACTTTACACTAAAATATTACTTTTCCGTCCCACATAATCTATCAACTCTTTTTATTTTTTATCGTCCCATATAATTTGTCATTTCCTTTTTTTAAAATATAATTATACATTTTAATCATATTTTAAAATTTATACTTTAATTTTTTTTATTTTAATTAAACTATTTAGTAATCTTAACATTAATTTATAATAATTTTTATTAAATTATAATTATTTTTATTATTATTTTTTTAATTATTTACTAATTATACAGTACCTAAAATTTAGTATTCTAACTAAGATAGACAAATTAGTTTGAACGGAGAAAGTATTATATTTTAATTTCCACGTCCAAGCAAAGTAATATGATTAGCTCAGATTGAAGAAGTATTAATATTTTTTTTGTTGTCTCCGAAACTTATCACTAGTTAACTTATAGTAATTATATATATATTTTTGTAAACGTAGTGTACTTATGTACAAAATGTCGATTCTACTTAGCGATTGTGTGTGCTTTTGATTCCTTCCAAGCCGAGTACTCCTGTGTATAAATAATGAATGTTCATTGTTAATGAAATAGATCAGTTCCAGCATTTACTCTCTCAATTTGCTTACATTTCTCATCATTATCTCTATATTGTCTTACATATATTTATATATAATATATATTCATTATATCTTACATACACACAACATTACATACACACGCACATACAATACACTATATAATATATATATATCTATCTGCCCGACTCACACATCCATATATATATATATATTTCATATTATATTATATTATAATATATATATACAGTATGAAATAGTGGTTGGCGGTAGAGATAATTAATATTTCTATTGGCTAATCTTATAATAATATTACAACATGTTATCAGCACGATTGTGCATTTTAATTTTTGCAAGGTAATATTTTATATCCTATTTATTTATTATGTCTAACCTTGCCAAACAAGAATTTCTCTCTCTTCTCGTTTCTGGCCAAAACTATATGGTCTGGGCTCGCTATGTTAAAATGTATCTCGCATCAATGGGCTTGAAAAATACCATTGCCCGAGATAAAAATTCCCCAAGTCAAGATAGTGCAAATGCCATGATCTTTTTGTGTCATCACATCGATGAGGCACTGAAAATGCAGTATGTCACACTGGAATCCCCACTTGAATTGTGGGAGAGATTGAAAGAAATATACGATCATATGAGGCTGACTATGTTGCCAAGGGCACGAAGCGAATGGCAAAGCCTACGGCTTCAGGACTTTAAAACAGTCCAAGAATATAATTCTGCCATGTTCAAGATAGCATCACAGCTGCGCCACTGTGGCGAAAATATATCTGAATCTGATATGATGGAGAAAACTTTCTCCACTTTTCATGCCTCTAACATGGTTTTGCAGTAGCATTATCGCGCTTCCAGAAATATTCTGAGCTAATCACATGTCTTTTGCTGGCCGAACAAAACAATGAATTGCTGTTAAAAAATCACGAATCTCGGCAGACAAACGCAAATCCATTTTCAGAGGCAAATGCAATACAACCGAAAAATTCGGTGCGTGGTCGTGGGCAAGCCAGAAATCAACGAATTGATCACGATCGAAATCAGAATCGCGGCCAGAGCCGGACAAACGCATACAGTCACAATAATTATCAAAACAGACCCCCAAATGTGCCAAATCGGCGCTATAATGACAGAAGGCCGTGCAGACCTCAACTAAGGCTCAACACCGGGAGAAACAAAAACAATGACGAGGAATGCACCCGGTGTGGAATCAAAGGCCATTGGGCCCATGTTTGTCCACAACCAGTCACTTGGTTGAACTGTATCGGGCCTCAAAAGAAAGGCAGGGAAGAGTTGCTGCCGAAACAAACCACACTGCCCACGATGACACATTTGACAATCTGATGAATGAAAATATCACACACCTGGATGCCGATGGTGACAAGCGTTTGTCACACGCTGCAAAATTTAAATAAAATAAACCTACTTCTGGAATAAAATAACAAACTAAAAACTCTACAACTAAAAGATAAATTCAATAAAAATAAGTTTCCAGTCTAGGAATGAAATTGACAACTTGGGTAGTGGATTTGATCATCGATAAATATTTAATTTTATTGGTTTCTAAATATATTAGTTATAGTTACCGACACGCGCCTAATAACCAAATCTTCTTTAATTTCTCTACAGTCTAGGTACGCTCGTCAAGTGCTTCCCTAGTTAGACTAGAACCCTAGTGACGCCACAAAGAATTTACTAGCCTAACCGCCTTGCGAACTAGAAAAGCCTAATTAAATTTATAATTACCTATGCGAAATTGTTTAAAATTGATTTTGTGATTTCCTAATGGTGTCTGCCACTAGTTGCTACTTGAACCAAATTAAAACATAATTACGGACACCTAATTTAGTTTAGAACTTAATCCTTAATCTAATTGAAATATCAGGCCACAATACCTAACCAGATTATAACTCAAAGAAATCAGAAACCACAAAAATACTTAGGAACCAAAGAAATATCATAGATCAAAACAAGTCTAATATCCCAAATCCATACCAAGTTGTTTTTTACTCCTAGACTAGAAAAGTAAACTACTCACTAATCATACGAGGAAGAACAAAGGAAGCAACAAGAAACATCGCCTGAGAATGATGTTGGTAGGGGTAGAACTCGAAATCTTCTTGGAAGAATCTTTCTCCTTCTTTTCCCTTGCACGGTTTCTCCCTGGGACTGTTTTGCACGGTGTTCTCCGCGACAAGTGGCATAAAGTCGCTCCTCCCCCTTATTTTTTTCCTTTATAGTTTCCCTAATTTTGTAACAATTGGGCTTTGGGCCTTTTTTTTTCTCTTTCTCCTCTAATTCTATCAATTTTATTATTTTTCTCCTGAAAATCATAAATAAATAATATATAGCCAAATCAGGTAGAATCTAATCAAAATCAACCAAATATCGCAAATAATATGAATATTTAACGCATGCGATTTATGGTTATCAAATCTCCGCACACCTAGATCATGCTTGCCCTAAAGCATAAATTCGAAACAAGCCAAAAGAAATCGCAGGCGACACAATCGAAAATTCAACATATCAAGCCAAGTCAATCTCACATGGTAAAGTGTATGCGTACATGCTCTCTGAAAGAAACAAGTGTGTATAATCAGCTAACGCTCGAGTAGTGCGACAAAAGATTATCCTATAGGCTTGAATGAAAATCAAATCTCCCTTGCTTAAAATACTTGAATCTAACATCAAGAATCAAAGGGACTTTTTTATAAAGGTTATAACGGGGCTGATGGTTAGGAGTAGAAAAAAGGATATGCGAAGGCTAAAATATGTTAGAAAAGAACACAATAAGTATACGATGCTAGCACGTGAAAAATAATTTGGCATAAATAATGAAACCCTTACTTTATTCACTACCCAAACTTCAATAATATAATTATATCAATAATTCATCAAGATGATATTTTTTTTATTATTATTATTTTTTCTTTTTGGGGCCTTTTTCTGTTTTCTTTTCTTTCTTTTTTTTTATTTTGCTCTTTTTTTTTCAAATATATATATATACGCCTTTCACTACCCGTTCTCATTGAAGCAAACACTTCTGAATGCATTATTTATTTATACTCAAACTTCATTTCTAACCGGTGCTGAATAAATAAGGTGCATCACACCGTGAACTTAAAGTAATTCTTTCTAACATAGTGTTCAAATCAGAGAAGGCTTAATATCAAAAGAAGGGTATGCGGCTAAAAGACTGTTTAATATAGAAGAAAAATGGGCTAAAAAGTCTCAAATGGGCTAACTAGGGGAAATATATTGTGCTGGTTGATAAAGAAATGCTCAATGGGTTACCTAATGCCCTTATCATTTTCAAAATGCAAGACTAGATATTTGCAAGTTCAACATATATAATCACTGAAGTTCTAGTTCATCTAATTGAGCACTACAAATCACACAAGAAAGAATTTCCAAAAGCTTGATAAATATGTAGTTTATTTTCTAATGTAAGCTTTTTGGAATATATACTCGAACTCTCACAGGGTTCAAATGTCAACCTGGCTCAACATATTTCAAATCCAATGTCATCAATCATGTCAGACTAACCTATCACTCAAACCATCTTTGACTCACTTCAGACAAATCTCAAAGATATGCGAAGGGACAACAAATTAGGCATCAAAAGTAGCACAAAATGAAAAATTTGCCCAAAAAATTTGCATTACTCTCTCCCCACACCTAAAGCAAACATTGTCCTCAATGTAGAAAAAACTAAAATAAAGTAACATAAGAGAGAAACTTCCCTGGAGTCCGTAGGATTGGTATGAGTGCATGTTTTTACTGTGGATTCCAAACTTCTTCAAGTTGATTGTGTGTCTCTTTTAGCCAACACCAAAATTGATAGCTCAGGGAGGAAGAAGAAGAAAGACGGCGGCCTTTTTTTTTTTCAAAATTCTCCAAGAAGTTCCCTACAAAAAAAAAAAATAATCCAAATCAAATAGGCGATGTTTAAAAATTAAAAAAAATAAAACAAAAACTAAAGAAAATAAAATAAATAAAGCTAGAAAACTTAGGTTGCCTCCCAAGAAGCGCCTCTCTTTAACGTCTTTGGCTAGATGCAGTTACCATGTTAGTCAGTAGGTAGTACTACTTCAAACCGTCTTACCCACTTCAGTTTTTGTCTTTTACTTCCATATTTTAAACAATGATTACTCACAAAAAAATTCTTTGCAAGATTCACATTATCATTTAAGTGAACAGGCTCCGACTGATTCGGATGCGGCTTCGATTTTATGTCCATGATAGATGTCTCATGCAATCTCAAGACTCCCTGCATACTTTTGTCAATAACATTCACACTGCACAACGCATTAGATTTTTCAAGGTATTTTATAGAATTAGAAATATTAAATTGTACTCTCTCACCATCAAATTCCATAGAAAGTATACCATGTTTCACATCAATTTTAGTTTGTGTAAATGGTCTACCTAGTAAAATCGGTGCAGGATTTGGAGAATTATCATCATGCATATCAAGCACATAAAAATGAACCGGAAAAATTAATTCGTTAACTTGCACTAGGACATCTTCAATCATTTCTTCAGGGCTAATTGTATCATAATTCAAGTTTCTTTTAAAGGCCCATTGTTCAAAGACTTATAAATAGATTTAGGCATCACATTAATTGCAGCTCCTAAATCTAACATTGCTCGTTTAATCTCCTACTTACCTATCTTACAAGAAACCGAGAATATACCTGAATCTCCACATTTAGGAAGAAGCTTACGTTGTAAAACGGCAGATACGCTCTCACCAGCAATAATGCATTCGTCTCCGCGTAGTCTCTTCTTGTTCGCACAAAGATCCTTCAGAAATTTTGCATACTTCGGCACTTGCTTGATCGTATCCAGTAAGGGTATGTTCAATTCCACCTTTCGAAACGTCTCCATCATCTCCTTATTTTTTTTTCCATCCTTCATTGGTTTCCCCAACCTACAAGGAAACGGTGCAACATTAGTTTTTGTATTAGTAGGTGTTTCAGAAGTTACCTTGTTCGATGTTTCAGTGGTGGCTTGCTCTATTTCTTTCTCAATGTCTTTCTCATTCTTGTCTTTTGGAACTCCAATCTTTGATACTTCTGAATCTTTTCCATTTTGTATAACAATCAAGCTCACATTCCTCGGATTGGTGTCGGGTTATGAGGACAATCTGCCTTTTTCTCTTGACTTCATCTTGCACATCTCATTCGCTATTTGACTTACTTGTTCTTCCAAGTTCCTTATGCTATTTCGAGTTTTCTGTTGAAATTGCAACATGTTAAATGCCATAGTTTTCATCATATCCTCTAAGGCATTACTTAGAATCGTCTGAGGGGGTTGTGGAGGGTGGTTAGGTGCTGGGAATCCCTCGAATGATCTCCAAAGTTAGCTTGTTGATTCCCATACTTTAAGTTCGGCTGATCTTTCCATCCTGGATTGTAGGTATTCGAGTAGTGGTTATATGCTCTTGGGATGAATCCTGCAGCACTGATATCTACTTCTTGACTTAAGGTAGGACAAATATCAGTAGGATGTTCCGAACTTGCGCAAATCCCACAAGCCTTAACTTGTGCCTTCCCTGAAACAAATTGTCGAACAAATGAAGTAAGTTCAGTCAATTGTTGTTGAATAGAACTCATATCGCTTGCTTCTTTAACTGCTACTGCTTCTCTTGGTCTGAATTGTTATGAGTTCATCGCCATATTGTTCAGTAAGTCCCACGCCTCTCTAGGAGTTTTGTTCATCAAGGCCCCTCCACTTCCTGCGTCAATGATTCTCCTGTCGATGGAAGTCAAACCTTCATAGAAATATTGAATCAGTAATTGCATGGGGATTTGATGATGGGGACATCGAATAAGTAGA